TGCATAAGAGCAAACTTGCATATGCAAAAGTTTGCATTTCACAAACAGCTTTTACTGATTCATCGATCTCATTGGAACAAATTCGCGTTAATGATACATACGTAATTGCAGAGGTGACTGTATTTATAATTTTTATTCAAAATCAGCGACGTAAGAATTACGATTTAGTATAAGAATCATTACGAGATGCATTGTAAAACGTTATAAATAATAGTAAAATATATTTTTTTCACTTTTTGACTTGCCGGTTTCAAAATCGGCGCAAATCGAGGGTTACCTGTACTGTTTTATGTCTTTCCATTGTTAAGTTGTGGGCGTTTATGTTACAAAATGTCACATTTATATGTTCTGAGTCATAATCATGGCATGTTGGCATTTTTAATTTGAAGAAATTATTTTTTATGTCAAATAATAATTCTAAATTTTAGTTTGAATTTTAATTTAAAAAATATATGTAGTAAGTCATGAAGATGCCTGAGGTATGGGTCTGGTGAGACAAGAATTTTGTTTTGTATTTTTGTTGTTGTTGCAGGGATGGTATTGATGAAGGGATACGATGGCTTGTGGATTGTATTAAACGTAACAGGGAAATCAGGCCACCGAGGAATCAGGATGACACTTGAGTCTAAAATAATTATAACTTCTTGTTACAAGGAACAAATTGCTATTTGATGAGCCATATGAACTTGGATGAGTGTGATTATAATGCCTAAGGTTTATATAATCTTTGTTTCTTGGGAATACCAAAGCATGTTAAAATATTACAAATATTCAGAATTGCTTGTTGTTTATTTGTTTTTAAGTCCCTTTTGCTACTGTCACAAATTGTGGCATTTTAGTACACCATGTCTCTTTCAGTATTGTTGTCAGTTATACTTGTTAGCTGTATTGTTGCTTGTAGCATTTGGGATCACATGTTTAGATTCTTAGTAAGTCTCACCATTCAGTACATAAGAATTTAGCTCTCTTACAAGGTAACAAAGTGAAAGTTAAAATGGAAATAATTTAACTACCACATAAAGATTATACAGTTTACAGATATGTAGCTTCTCCTTTTTCTGGTCATGAACTTATTACCTGTTTCAGCCTCATGACTGTGACTGTCTTTTTTACATACTTACTCACTCCATGGAGCCAAGTCCTTTCTGAGAAGCAAACAGTTGCTCTGCCACTCTAGAAATTCCCAACGTTTTTTGGAATCTGAAGGTTCATTACCATGTTCACAAGAGCCCACCACTGGTCCGTCCTGAGTCAGATGAATTCAGTCCATACCACCCCATCCTATTGCTCTAAGATCCATTTTAATATTATCCTCCCCGTACGTCTAACTCTTCCTAGTGGTCTCCTTCCTTCTGGTTTGCCTACCAAAACCCTGTATGCATTCCTCTTCTCTCCCATGCAGGTTATGTGACCTGCCCATCTCATCCTCCTTGACTTGATCAGTCTAATTATATTTGATGAGAAGTACAACTTAATGAAGCTCTTAATTATTCATATTTCTCCTTACTAATTCATTCCTCTTAGGTCCAAATATTATCCTCAGCACCCTGTTCTCAAATGCCCTCAGTCTGCATTCCTCCATACGTAGGTGTCAGAGACCAAGTTTTACACCCATACAGAAATACAGGCAAAATTGTGACTTAATGGTCTTAATTGTCATTCAAGTCTTTGTCATCCATTGGGTCAGTATTCAAAAAGTTGTTTTAGATATCTGGAACATATCCTTCTGACATGATACAGACAATTTTGTTCATACTGTGTTAATTTAATTTCAATTGGATTTACATCAAGTTCTAAATATTTTAGTTTCTTTTGTGATCTAAAAAGTAAGTTCTGCTGTGCATTTCATGAATTTCTTTTCTGCTATCTTTAGTTTTCTTATATATTTTGTAGCTATAAGTCTAAAACTTTAGCACAAGGTATCAGTAATCTTACATACAAAAATTTGATGGACTACCTGATGCATAATTTTAAATGAACATTATGCAAGGAAAAAATTATAATAAATGTATCTTCTTGTGAAAAGGATAAGACTTGTGAATCAGCAGTTTGTCAGGATTTTGTACACCGATTTGCAGAGCGATGGACACAGTTTGTACTTCTTGCTTATTTTTTTAAGCCTTTGCTGTCCAATGTCAGACTGAGTCTGCCATTTAAAAATCCGAGTTCTGCTCCAATGTTGGATTCAGTCCGCCAAGTGTTTTATGAATGTTATACATGATCTGGAGTGAAGCTGAAGCTGACAAACAGTGTCAGCATATTATTTAAGGCTTCATCTGTGCACTAGTGTTATCCAAGTTTTCCTCGTAATACTTCGTGAATCTTATAATAGTGAAAAGAGGCTGGAGAGAAATGTCGTTTTATTGTAACATGAGTACAAGGAAGCCAGGACTCAACCCCAAGTGTTTTGCCATATATCATACAGTGAAGAAATACCATTAGGTGTGTAGGTGTCATATTTACTTAGAATAGAAATATTTTATATCTGATAAAGTTATAAAATAAATATCCCATTTTCCTTGTAGGAATTTCTATTTTCTTAATTATTTTTAACGCATAGAGCAATCCACCACTGATATATCAACATTCATTCATTTTCTTATCAAGCATTCTTTGTGTGTAGTGACATCGTTTACACTTCGCATTCTGTTTTAAATTTCTGTTGCTGAACTTGGTCTTGAACTTACGAACACAATCAGCATGAAAGGAAGCATAGCTCTGAGATTATGAAATCCAATGCTTATACATCATATATCTTCATGCAGTGGTGGCTTGTGAGTCTCAGCAGTGGTAGTGTTGTGCAAGGGGGGGAAATCAGAATAGTTTTTCTACACTTAACAATATAAATAAATGAAAAGAAAATTTACATCAGGAGAAAACCCATATGTGTTCGACGATGTTTTAACAGAGAGCTGTATTTGTATTTAAAAGGGACTGCAAAGGATTAAATTATCCACTCTTAATTTTTCATTTGTCTTTTTATTCTATAATTGCATTATTTTCTCTCTATGAATCTGATTTATCTGTCTTACTGTTAATAAATTAAAGGATATCATATCGTTTTGGTCAGAAACCTTGTATATACTATATTCATATATGGAGCCTTCACTTGCTGTTTTAATTCACCACTCTGAGACCTTTAGTGAAGTTGCTGCATGTATGCTATTCACTGAATTAACAGAATTGAGCTTGGCTTTCAGTTATATGTGATTAGTACTGATTCGGTTATGGAGATGTATTGGTTCTTCATACACACATTAATGTCTACATTACAAATGTGGACAGGTATCTGAATGTTTTCTTTTGTTGTTTTCTTTGTTCATATGTTCCCAGAAACATAAGCACTAAAATGTTGATGATTTTGTCTTAAAAATTAGCTAGTTATTATATTTTAAAAAACAAATCTTGCAACATCATAAAGGTTATTTTTGAACATTTTGATGCTGTGTGTAAATTATGACAATGGTCATGTATCTTATTCTTCATAAGGTATTGAAGTTTTATTGGTTTGTCCTGGTAGTTATCAATGATGAGCCAGATAACATCATATGTTATATCATTGTTTTTGTTACTAATTATATCTATTTTATTTAGTACCCATTATTTTTATTGTTTACTCTTCTTCTTCTTCTTATAGCGTTATAACCCTGTGTGGGTCTTAGCTTGTTCGATGATTTTTTTCCATTCTGTCCTATCATTCACAATTCTTCTCCATCCCCTTACTCCCATCGTCCTCACATCCTCCTCCACGTCGTCTATCCATCGTTTCCGTGGTCTCCCTCTCATCCTTCTTCCCATCGGTCTCCATTCCATCACTCTTATAGTTGCCCTGTTTTTTTCCATTCTTGCAACATGGCCAAGCCAGGCTAACCTTTTGCTTTTGATCAGCCTCATAATATCTCCCTGTATGATACAATCTAGTTCATGATTCATTCTAATTCTCCAGGAGCCATCACTATTCTGTATTTGACCATAGATTTTCCGTAATATTTTGCGTTTAAATATTCTAAGTTGTTGCTCATCAAAGCTAGTTAATGTCCAGGCTTCACATCCATATGTGACTACTGGTCTTATCAGAACTTTATAGATTCTCAGTTTAAATTGCCTCCCCAGTATTTTAGACTTCATTAAATTCTGATAGGCATAATAACATCTATTACCATTCACAATACGTGCTTTAATTTCATTAGTTACTGAATTTATAGTATTAATCTGTGA